CCATCTGTCTGGATGTTTCCTTGGAATAACTTCCGACAGTCCTAGGGCTTTCCTGCCCTAGATTATCTATCCATCTGTCTGGATGTTTCCTTAGAATAACTTTTGACAGTCCTAGAGCTTTCCTTCCCAGGGCTGCTCTCCATCTGTCTGGATGTTTCCTTAGAATCACTTCCGACAGTCCTAGGGCTTTCCTGCCCTAGATTATCTATCCATCTGTCTGGTTGTTTCCTTAGAATAACTTCCGACAGTCCTACCGCTTTCCTTCCCAGGGCTTCTCTCCATCTGTCTGGATGTTTCCTTAGAATCACTTCCGACAGCCCTAGGGCTTTCCTGCCCTAGATTATCTCTCCATCTGTCTAGATGTTTCCTTAGAATAACTTCCGACAGTCCTAGGGCTTTCCTGCCCTAGATTATCTCTCCATCTGTCTAGATGTTTCCTTAGAATAACTTCCGACAGTCCTACCGCTCTCCTTCCCAGGGCTACTCTCCATCTGTCTGGATGTTTCCTTAGTATCACTTCCGACAGTCCTAGGGCTTTCCTGCCCTAGATTATCTATCCATCTGTCTGGTTGTTTCCTTAAAATAACTTCCGACAGTCCTAGGGCTTTCCTGCCCTAGATTATCTGTCCATCTGTCTGGATGTTTCCTTAGAAGAACTTCCGACAGTCCTTGGACTTTCCTTCCCAGGGCTACTCTCCATCTGTCTGGATGTTTCCTAAGAATAACTTCCATCAGTCCTAGGGCTTTCCTGCCCTAGATTATCTGTCCATCTGTCTGGATGTTTCCTTAGAAGAACTTCCGACAGTCCTTGGACTTTCCTTCCCAGGGCTACTCTCCATCTGTCTGGATGTTTCCTAAGAATAACTTCCATCAGTCCTAGGGCTTTCCTGCCCTAGATTATCTATCCATCTGTCTGGTTGTTTCCTTAGAATAACTTCCGACAGTCCTAGGGCTTTCCTGCCCTAGATTATCTATCCATCTGTCTGGTTGTTTCCTTAGAATAACTTCCGACAGTCCTACCGCTCTCCTTCCCAGGGCTACTCTCCATCTGTCTGGATGTTTCCTTAGAATAACTTTCGACAGTCCTAGGCCTTTCCTTCCCAGGGGTACTCTCCATCTGTCTGGATGTTTCCTCAGAATAACTTCCGACAGTCCTATGGCTGTCATGCCCAAGATTATCTGTCCATCTGTCTGCTATTTTCTTAGAATAACCTCCGACAGTCCTAGGTCTTGATGGTATTCTGAGGAGTTTCTTGCCGCAGTCTGTCTTGATGTTATTCTGAGGAGTTTCTTGCCCTAGTCTGTCTTGATGTTATTCTGAGGACGTTCTTGCCCTAGTCTGTCTTGATGTTATTCTGAGGACGTTCTTGCCCTAGTCTGTCTTGATGTTATTCTGAGGACGTTCTTGCCCTAGTCTGTCTTGATGTTATTCTGAGGACGTTCTTGCCCTAGTCTGTCTTGATGTTATTCTGAGGACGTTCTTGCCCTAGTCTGTCTTGATGTTATTCTGAGGACGTTCTTGCCCTAGTCTGTCTTGATGTTATTCTGAGGACGTTCTTGCCCTAGTCTGTCTTGATGTTATTCTGAGGACGTTCTTGCCCTAGTCTGTCTGTATGTTATTCTGAGGACTTTCTTGCCCTAGTCTATCTGTATGTTTGTCTGAGGACTTTCTTGCCCTAGTCTGTCTGGATGTTTGTCTGAGGACTTTCTTGCCCTAGTCTGTCTGGATGTTTGTCCGAGGACTTTCTTGCCTAGTCTGTCTGGATGTTATTCTGAGGACTTTCTTGCCCTAGTCTGGCCTGATGTTATTCTGAGGACTTTCTTGCCCTAGTCTGTCTGGGGACTTTCTTGCCCTAGTCTGTCTGTATGTTTGTCTGAGGACTTTCTTGCCCTAGTCTGTCTGGGGACTTTCTTGCCCTAGTCTGTCCTGATGTTATTCTGAGGACTTTCTTGCCCTAGTCTGTCTTGATGTTATTCTGAGGACTTTCTTGCCTAGTCTGTCTGGATGTTTGTCTGAGGACTTTCTTGCCCTAGTCTGTCTGGATGTTATTCTGAGGACTTTCTTGCCCTAGTCTATCTGTCTGTTTGTTGGTCTGGATGTTTCCTTAGATGGTTTCAAAGAGTCTTTATCATTTTCCTACCCCGAGGTTATATGTCTGTCTATCTGGATGTGCTTCCTTTGCACAGAATAACTTAGACAGATCCAGGGGCTTTCTACCCAAACAGCTACTGTCCATATATCTGGATGATTTCCATCAGAATATCTTCTGGCGGTCCTAGAGCTTTCCCATTATAAAAATTGTCTTTGTAAATTAAACTCAACGCAGAAAAGCTACGAAGAAATATATTTCAATGACTTGAGTTAAACACTTACAACGAAGAAAAACCATAGAAATTTCTTTGTACTATATGGATCAGTACTACAACTATTGGTAGCTAAATATAGTAGCTTAGAAAACTGGCTTCTCCAGAACTCCATATAGCTATCAATAAATTAACTTCATTTTCTCAAAACAGCAAGTAGACTCTTTTTAAAAGCCCATCCACAGAAACTGTTTGTTATATATATATATATATCTTGAATGATTAATTTAAATCAAATTTCAATACAATGAGTACATTTTTTAGCATGTCAACTAACCATAGTTATATGCCTTGGATGCGATGTCCCCTGTTCAATACTGAAACATTTTGAAATGATGAAAAAGGACATGTTTATCTGAATAATGATAAATTTATTCCAGAGGTATAGTAGAGAATTATAAAAACAAAATTGACTAAGAGGACTTGAATATGATACTATTTTTTGATTATCTTCACTAAATATCGACCACTTTCGGTGAGTGTTTGCTGGAGATCTACAGGCCAGATACAAAAGCACAAACTTTTGCTGTACACAATTGCTGGTACATTTTTTATCACATAAAGATGCTTCATCATTTTACAGATTTACTAAAAAAACCACCAAAAGCATGTACATTTGTCTAAATCACAAGTTACATGATGATTTTTTTTCCAAAAAAGTATGCTGGAATACACTAGTTTTTGGTGCAGTTATTCCCCTTTGAGCAGGCTTGGACAATACATTGAAAAATCTTTTTTTTTTCTTTTTCTGTCAATATAATGAATGTCTCACTTAGATATTTAGTTCCTTTGTTATATGAAATTCAGAGTTTGTATTTAGTTGCAAAAAGATTTGGGCTGAATGTGGACATTTTGATAACGTGTTTTCGTTGAGGGACATAATTGTCAAGAGTCTATAGAAACACTCTGTAAAAGAAACTTTTCTTTCCTGTCGGTGGCTAATTAAGCTATCATGATTCCTGACAAAAAAAATGATGAAATTTGATGTTCTTAAATGTTATTTTTTCAATCTTGATTTCTTTACTATTTCATTGCACATATCATTATTAATAAAAGTGTATATACGTATATAAATGTATTATTACTTGACATACTTTGTGCTGTAGTAAAACAATAACTGGTAAATTGGTAATAGTACATTTACACATATAAATATTATTTAAATCAAGTGTTCAGGTAATATTAACAGTAGCAATGATTGAACAAACTATAATTTATGACAAACCAATCATTGAGCTGATTACAAAGGAGAATCAAAGTACAGCTGGAGATATTAAACCCATATACATATGGCATACATAATAATAGGATTTTGGCTCTGTCCTAATAAGTAGTGATGATGCTGGGATACACTGATTATCTGCCCTGTACTTGCCTAGATTTACTCATTTATGCATATAATTAAAGCTAATGGTAACTCATTCACCCCTGAAGACACATTTGAACTCTTCATATTCAAAGGTTGGAATAGTTCATTATGAAATTTCAGGGGTGAATGAGTTCCCGGTATCACTGACGAAACATGTAACTAAGTATTGGAAACTGTTTTATATGCATAACTACAGTATAGTGTAGCTTTGATCAGTTATTTTTATAATAAGAAAACCATACCTTGGGGGCGTTTTATGAGAAATAATAAAAATTAACAAAAACATAATCAACCAGTGTTCTGACTGTGAAATAAAAATCAGTGGGGCTAAAGCCGGGATTTGAACCCTGAACTTCAGATCAAAATAACATCGCTGTAGCCACAGAATTATAGTATGTTATATCTAAGTCGGTGCTCTAACCAGTTGTGTTACTGAATTTAGCACTATTAATATTTCTGTCTAAGCAGGAACAATGACATAGGTACATTAGAATTGAACATATTTAATTTTGCATCTTTTGTCAGAACTTAACTTCAAATTATGAGTTTACATTCATAAACAATTAAACCTATATACATTCAAAACTTTAATACCCGTCATTTTACAGTCTTTATAAACCCGACCCTGTATAAACTGGCCAATTATTTCGATCTGATTCGTACATGGTTTACATAGGTAACAGGTAGAAACTTCTGTATGAGGAGAAGAAAATCAAAAAAAAATCTGGTTCTTAATTTAATGTCTTTGAATATAAAAAACAGTAAATTTGAACAGTTGATGTTAACCTATATAGTACCATGCTGTGACCGTGGACTTGAGGTATATCTGTATATACCTGGAGTCCCCCAATGTATTGATTTGAATCGCGCCCTAATTCCATTAGATGATAAATCAACGATCATCCCTTATAAGGGATTTAAATTGCCTTTCTCACAGTCGCACATACCAGGTATCTGTAGATTATAAATGTGTGGGTTTTCTGCAAGCTCAATCAGCGAGGTTTTACAACATCTTTTTTTTTATACGCTAGATGGTGAATAGATTCACAGCTTGTGCTGATATCTAGATCTGAATGTTAAGTCTCAATTTTTAGTTCAAGGGACCGATAAATTGGAACAAATTATATTTTCAAATGACTGGCTGAATGATCTTGCATAATAGATGTAAAAGTTTTTTTGCTTTTTTCATTTTTTATTGTCGCTTGTTATCTGCATATATTTTTGAAATCTTTTTTTTGTTGTTATACAAAATATAGAGAAAGACATAAATTTTAAAGGTGACATATTTGAGGAAACAGGTCTATTTAGTTGAATTTTAAATGCATGTGTGTTTTTTTCTACCTCAATATTTGCTGTTAAACTGGCGACAGAGCTGCATGCATATATAAAACGACAGTACGCCATACACAGGTGGTACATGCATAACCTTCATAATATGCTGTACCTTGTGGTAGCATGTGCATCATTAAACGAGACACTGACAATGATGTACCTACATATAGGAGGACGGAGGTTATCATCAGCATGAAAAAGGAACTCGAATATTGTTAGCATCGAAGAATCATATCGATTGTTGGATTGGAGAAACTTCTATTTCTTTTGCCCTTTGGAAAATAAGTACTGGGATTCATTCCTAATATCATAATATCCTTATGCGATGAACAATTTTTCATAAAGAGAGAAAAAAAAAGTTTTTTGGAGCAGTTGAACATTTGATGTTTCATTAGCCGACACCTTTACTCGACATCTACCTGTTCTGTAATGTACAGTGTTAAATGCCATACATCAAGATTTGATGACTATTGGAGTACAGGGACGGTGAGGATTTGAGTCCTGACAGATTCACCATAACGCTTAGTGGTTTAGGTGTCACACTTGTTGCTAGATTAATGAGGTTATAGCTGTACAGGAATCTGACAATGTATTACCTGGGCTAGGATTACATACTTGTCAGTCCAATATTCTACAGAATCCAAGTCACAATTTTAACAGATTGATTTTAATATTTATTAAGCTGAAATGTGTTGGAAGTTGATGTGTGATCCTTATTAGGAGAAGCTATGTGGACACCTGCAGCATCCAAAACCATTTGTTGACTTTATGATTTGAGACAATTGGATATTGACTTGTGCTGAATCCTGAAAATCAATAGCAGTTTTGATAAAGGAAAAGTCAGTTCAATAATATTGTTTATAATTGCTTGGAGGAACACCAACTGTGTCACCATTGTAACAAGAATTTGAATGAGACTGTTGTCTTAAGCATTGTTGAGTTTTAGACATTTAAAAAAAAAAGGTGATTTGAGAAGATGTTACAGGGATTTTAGACAATTCTGAACTTTAAATGCGTCAAAGCGATCAAGCGTGGATGTATCCGTGGGAGGGACAAACAGACTGGGATGCACCCTATACTTACGTTCTAGGGGACACACCCATGCCATACACCCCTACCACCCAGCCTCAGCCTCCTCCCCAACCTCCTCCCCAACCGCCACCCCAACCACCACCCCAACCGAGGGCTGGGAGGATTGGGACGAGAATGCATGTCAACCCAAGGCATAACTTCATTTATGGCAGTAATACTGGTAAGTAAAAAGGTTTATCGGTACATTAACTAAGCTGATGATTTTATACTGACATGAACCAACATTCGTTGACATAAACTGAATGGTAAGTAATAAGGTCATGATTAGTCATCCTCTCTATTATGTTGTATTAATTGACAAAACCCTCATTCTATTTCATGTACATACGCTTTATATGTTATTGTTGACGTAACCCTCATTTTATTACATGTACACTTTATGTGTTATCATTGACGTAACCCACATTTTATTACATGTACACTGTATATGCTAACATTGATATAACCCACATTCTGGTACATGTACAATTTATGTAAATGTTGACATAACCCGCATATTGTTACATGTACACTGTATATGTGAACATTGATATAACCCTAATCCTGGTACATGTACACTGTAGATGTGAGCATTGATATAACCCTAATCCTGGTACATGTACACTGTAGATGTGAACATTGATATAACCCTAATTCTGGTACATGTACACTGTAGATGTGTAACCCTCATTTTATTACATGTACACTTTATGTGTTATCATTGATGTAAACCACATTTTATTACATGTACACTGTATATGCTAACATTGATATAACCCACATTCTGGGACATGTACAATTTATGTAAATGTTGACATAACCGGCATATTGTTACATGTACACTGTATATGTGAACATTGATATCACCCTAATCCTGGTACATGTACACTGTATATGTAAACATTGATATAACCCTAATTCTGGTACATGCACACTGTATATGTTAACATTGATATAACCCACAACCTGGTACATGCACACTGTCTATGTTAACATTGATATAATCCTAATTCTATTACATATAACCCACATTCTGGTTCATGTACACTGTATATGTTAACATTGATATAACCCTAATCCTGGTACATGTACCCTGTAGATGTGAACATTGATATAACCCTAATTCTGGTACATGTACACTGTATACGTGAACATTGATATAACCCTAATTCTGGTACATGTACACTGTAGATGTGTAACCCTCATTTTATTACATGTACACTTTATGTGTTATCATTGATGTAAACCACATTTTATTACATGTACACTGTATATGCTAACATTGATATAACCCACATTCTGGGACATGTACAATTTATGTAAATGTTGACATAACCCGCATATTGTTTCATGTACACTGTATATGTGAACATTGATATACCCCTAATCCTGGTACATGTACACTGTAGATGTGAGCATTGATATAACCCTAATCCTGGTACATGTACACTGTATATGTAAACATTGATATAACCCTAATTCTGGTACATGTACACTGTAGATGTGTAACCCTCATTTTATTACATGTACACTTTATGTGTTATCATTGACGTACCCCACATTTTATTACATGTACACTGTATATGCTAACCTTGATATAACCCCCATTCTGGTACATGTACAATTTATGTAAATGTTGACATAACCCGCATATTGTTACATGTACACTGTATATGTGAACATTGATATCACCCTAATCCTGGTACATGTACACTGTATATGTAAACATTGATATAACCCTAATTCTGGTACATGTACACTGTAGATGTGTAACCCTCATTTTATTACATGTACACTTTATGTGTTATCATTGATGTAAACCACATTTTATTACATGTACACTGTATATGCTAACCTTGATATAACCCACATTCTGGTACATGTACAATTTATGTAAATGTTGACATAACCCGCATATTGTTTCATGTACACTGTATATGTGAACATTGATATACCCCTAATCCTGGTACATGTACACTGTAGATGGGAACATTGATATAACCCTAATCCTGGTACATGTACACTGTATATGTAAACATTGATATGACCCTAATTCTGGTACATGTACACTGTAGATGTGTAACCCTCATTTTATTACATGTACACTTTATGTGTTATCATTGACGTAACCCACATTTTATTACATGTACACTGTATATGCTAACATTGCTATAACCCACATTCTGGTACATGTACAATTTATGTAAATGTTGACATAACCCGTATATTGTTACATGTACACTGTATATGTTAACATTGATATAAGCCACATTCTGGTACATGTACACTGTATATGTGAACATTGATATATCCCACATTCTGGTACATGTACAATTTATGTAAATGTTGACATAACCCGCATATTGTTACATGTACACTGTATATGTGAACATTGATATCACCCTAATCCTGGTACATGTACACTGTATATGTAAACATTGATATAACCCTAATTCTGGTACATGTACACTGTAGATGTGTAACCCTCATTTTATTACATGTACACTTTATGTGTTATCATTGATGTAAACCACATTTTATTACATGTACACTGTATATGCTAACATTGATATAACCCACATTCTGGGACATGTACAATTTATGTAAATGTTGACATAACCCGCATATTGTTACATGTACACTGTATATGTGAACATTGATATCACCCTAATCCTGGTACATGTACACTGTATATGTAAACATTGATATGACCCTAATTCTGGTACATGTACACTGTAGATGTGTAACCCTCATTTTATTACATGTACACTTTATGTGTTATCATTGATGTAAACCACATTTTATTACATGTACACTGTATATGCTAACCTTGATATAACCCACATTCTGGTACATGTACACTGTAAATGTTAACATTGATATAACCCGCATTCTGTTACATATAACCCACATTCTGGTACATGCACACTATATATGTTAACATTCATATAACCCTAATTCTGTTACATATAACCCACATTCTGTTACATATAACCCCCAATCTGGTACATGTACACTGTATATGTTAACATTGATATAACCCTAATTCTGTTACATATAACCCACATTCTGTTACATATAACCCACATTCTGTAACATATAACCCACACTCTGTTACATATAACCCACATTCTGTAACATATAACCCACATTCTGGTACATGCACACTGTATATGTTAACATTGATATAACCCTAATTCTGTTACATATAACCCACATTCTGGTACATGCACACTGTATATGTTAACATTGATATAACCCACATTCTGCTACATATAACTCACAATCTGGTACATGTACACCGTATATGTTAACATTGATATAACCCTAATTCTGTTACATATAACCCACATTCTGTAACATATAACCCACATTCTGGTACATGCACACTGTATATGTGAACATTGATATAACCCACATTCTGTTACATATAACCCATGTTCTGGTACATGTACACTGTAAATGTTAACATTGATATAACCCACATTCTGTTACATATAACCCACATTCTGGTACATGTACACACTGTATATGTTAACATTGATATAACCCACATTCTGGTCCATGCACACTGTATATGTTAACATTGATATAACCCTAATTCTGTTACATATAACCCACATTCTGGTACATGTACACTGTATATGTGAACATTGATATAACCCACATTCTGTTACATATAGCCCACATTCTGGTACATGTACACTGTATATGTTAACACTGATATAACCCACATTCTGTAACATATAACCCACATTCTGGTACATGTACACTTTATATGTTAACATTGATATAACCCACATTCTGTAACATATAACCCACATTCTGTTACATATAACCCACAATCTGGTACATGTACACTGTATATGTTAACATTGATATAACCCACATTCTGTAACATATAACCCACATTCTGTAACATATAACCCACATTCTGGTACATGTACACTGTATATGTGAACATTGATATAACCCACATTCTGGTACATATATACTATTTATGTTAACATTGACATAACCTGCTCCTTTGACACTTGTATCATGTGTAGACCAGCTGGTTGTCAGCTTCCTAGATATCATACGTCCCTGTTAGTTGGTTATTCTTGTGTATTGGCAATGGTCAGGTGGTATTTTCCCCCCTGTATTACTCAAATTAAAAGTACTTATCCAAGTTGGGTCTCTAAAACATGTGCTTACAGCTTTTGAAAAAATATAACAATTTCAACTATTCAGTGCTACATGTAGTTTCAGATATGACTAATAAGCTTTGGTTCGTTTGTGTTTTCTGTCCTATATTAGCAGCTATGGTTGTTTAAAGCTGACAGTGCAAGTTAAAAAGCTTTCAATTGAGATTTTTAAAAAAGGGTTTATTTTCGGCTGTCGTATCTAAGGAAGCAGCAACATTATAGAATGTACTTGCTTGGTAACGAGTATGGGTCTTGCTGGGTATAAAAGCTCATAACCTGTCAAACGGGTTATCATTTGTTCAACATGTGCGCAAGGTGACGCTACTATACTATATAGAACGAACAATTTCATGATTTTGAACGAACATTTTTTTATTAGATCAGTTGAATAAAATTGAAATGCAACACATCAAAAACATCATTTTTTAAGAAAAGTTGAAATAGTAGTAAAATACAACCAATTAAATTATATATAATGCATAATCCCTGCCACCCCCTCCCCAAAAAATAACAAAACAAACTTCCCTGAAAGAAATAAACAAAAGACTAACACTGCCTACCTTTTAGATATCTAACTAGTAATAACATCCTGTGTGAAAACAATATTAATTCAAATTATGTCCATGAGAATGGTCTTGTTATCCAATATCACATTGTGGACTACACACCTGGGAGTGTCGCATTTCGCACATGTTTTGCTAGTAAAGCGTCTACATGACGAAGACTAAGAGTTCATAATAAAGTGTGTGGGTGCAGTTCTATGCATGTGAAAGACTGATGATATATATGGGGTTTATTTGAAGTCTTTTCAGTATTAAACCTTTTATTTCGGATACATAATTTGGAGAATGTGCCATACGTAACAACCAGCTTGGCAGTGTTTCAGAGTCTTCAGGAGAGTGCGTTTGATTTTTGATATTGGTTGTCGATCAGGGGGCACAGTGCATTAAAACGCAAGACAGTCAGTTGTAGAATAACTATTTTGACAGGTAAT